ACGGGCTTTCAGGCGTGAAAGAGTAATGAGAGACCGCACCAATCCTCTAGATATATATGGAGACAGAGAACTTATTGAAAGGTTTAGTTTCAGCAGGGTTCAAATAATATTTTTTAAAGCTGTGTTTTAAAGTAGTAAAGCAAGTTGACAATGAGCGTACCATTATCATCCTCGCTGATGTCAACACTTCCTCTACGACATCCATTGGGTTTGCGCAGGGGCTTGTACCAAGAATTTCGTCCAGTACATCGTAAAGTGGCCACTTTACATCGGCTGACTCTCCTCTAGTTCTAAGTTTGTCTCGTGTGGCCATATATTTCTGGCGCAATTTCTTCACTTTAACCCGGCATTGCAGAGCGGTCTGGTTAAATCCTCTCTCTTTCAGTTTTGCTGAAAATTGGAGAAACACTTTTGAATTTCTGTGGCGCACCAATCCTCTAGATATATATGGAGACAGAGAACTTATTGAAAGATTTCGTTTCAGCAGGGTTGAACTGTTAGAATTAATCAACGAGTTATCACCGCAGTTACAGCACGCAACAGACAGGAACGGAGCGCTGTCCCCAAAACTGTAGGTGCTAATATCTCTTCGATTTTATGCCAGTGGATCTTTCCAAAATACATTCGCTGATATGGTAAATGTAAGCAGAAGTACAGCCTGCCGGGCGATACGACGAGTGTCTGGCCCTTCAAAGTCGGGCTCAAATACATGTTCGTCTACCCACCCAGGAGGAGGCCACACGCACTAAGGACAAATTTCGAAGAGATTCCGGCATACCCGGTATTTTTGGCTGTATAGATGGTACTCACGTGCGCATTCAGGCACCATCTAAAAACGAGTACCTTTTTGTAAATAGGAAAGGCTTTCACTCAATCAACGTACAGGTTGTGTGTGATGCAAACATGAAATTAATAGATGTGGTGGCGCGGTGGTATGGGTCTGCACATGATCGACGCACGCATCTTGAGGGAGAGCGCACTGGCACAAATGTGTGAGGAGGGGCGGCTTTCTGGCATAATGCTTGGCGACAGTGGCTACCCTTTAAATAAGTGGCTAATGACACCTGTCATGGTACCCCGAACGGAGCAGGAAAGGCAGTTCAACTATGTGCACTCACGGACGAGGTCGATCATTGAGCGCTGCTCAAGCGCAGGTGTGTGGCTCATGTTTACTTGAACGGCGTGTCTAGTTACACTAAGTGCAAATAGCCCGCCTTGTTGGCAAATGGTAAAACGTGTGTTGTGCTCATTTTGACGCGATCGACACAGGTTCGAATCCACCTTTTGGCGAACTTTTTTCTCCCTTTTCAAATTTCAAATCACATCAGAAAAGCATTTATTTTCAATAAAAATGAAGGAAATAATCAAAAAGTTGAAAATAAAGTAACGGGTAGGGTTAGGGTATGTGTAGGGAGGGCTTTATTGTCCCAATAAGGTGGCATCCATTTAATCATTTGAATTAAAATTTACATTCAATAAGTTATTATTGCATACTGTTTTATAATGTACTACAATACTGAGGTGCAGATAATTGCCACTATGTGCATTAAGTAGTATAAATAGCAGAAATCCTTATTCTAATTCGAATCCATTAGAATCTATAGCTATTTGCACTTAGTGTAAATAGCCTCTGCCTTCGCTTAAATATGAAGCTGCCAGCCCTTATTTATTTTAGCTACCTTAAACTGGCATTGGTTATTAAAGAGTAATAATGTAGATTTTACTCCGGCGGGATAGCTACTGCATTTTCTTCCCTGCAGATTCCACTGCCTGCACAGTGAAATCAGGATGGAGCCAGAGAGGGTATGCACCATTGTATGTGCAGCAGCTGTGTTGCACAACATTTGCACAGACAAGAGAGTGCCTCTTCCTGCGGAGGATTTAGGACCAGTGTAGGCAGAGGTGGAACACATCAGGGAAGTCGCAGAAGAGGATGTGGCGGCTCGTCTCATCCGAAGCAATATAATTCGGCTAATCATCCTGTAAAAGATAGAACTAATGTAACGTATAAAGATCGTATATTATATTGTATAAAAAGAAAACGAAATGTATCTGCTTTAGATAACTATGCACTTTATTTATTTTATTTTATTTTACATTTCACTTTTTCACATTTCAACATTTGACATTTTTTCAACTGTCACAAAGCACAAGTAAAGTGAATAAACTAAAGCTGTACAAAATGATTGCTGGCAAGTAAAAATAAATTATTTAGCTATTGATTAAATTGTGTGTGTTATTAAATCAAATTAGATTTGCTGATGCAGATTTTTTTTTTAATATTAAGATGTATTTAGGATTTAATTAGGGATTTAAAACATACAGAACATTTCTTTAAATCATAGGATTATTCAGATGTTCAAAAACACACCGTCATTCTCGATTGTGTAGCTGGCCCTTCGCTCTAACAGCTGGATTTCTAAGGCAAGTTTCCGTTTCTCTATCTCAAGCTTCTCCTTTTCTACCCTTAACTTCTCTGTCTCCATCTCCACTCTCTTAATGTCTTTCTCCAGTAACACAGCCTGAAGATCCGGTTCCCTTGTCCTTCGAGGAGGTAACGCTGTCGTGTTTTTTGGAGCTGTCCGCGGTGCTAAAGGCGGATTGGGATTATCTGCAAAAGTTTAATGCATTATTAAAATATGAATTGCTTCAGAAATTTGTGTAGGTTACGCCGTACACAGTGTAAACAGGTCTATAGTCTATAACTATTTATTAGCCCACTATTTTAATGTTACCTTCATAACTGGTGTCTGATGAATCATTTGAAATGGAAGAAAAACTTGCGTCTTCTTCAGCTTCAACTTGCTTTTCTTCCGTTACATCCATGTTGCTGGCACTAGTGTCATAGCCTTTTAGGCCAGTAAAAGCTGGCGAGTCGTCTCCAAACACATCCATTATAATAGTGCTGTAGGGTGAGATTTTAGGAGGGGGTCCCCCACCCGTTGGGTTTTTTTTGAGCAGACTAGAGTCTCTCCTGGCTGCTTGAAGAAGATCTTTCCATTTTTTTTTTACTTCCTCGTCTGTCCGGTTTCCTAATCCACCCTCAGCTTCATTTACTGCCACTGTTATCTTTTGCCAGATGTCTTGTTTTTTCTTATTTGTTACTGAATTGTTTTGTTTGCATACTAAAATATGCATATACCTACTGAAGAGTTCAATAATTTTTTTTGTTTCACAATCTGAGTAATTTAATTTTCTTCTTTTCGGTTCAGCGGCCATTTTTAATTTATTCATTGGAGCCGGTAATTTCAAGTTGTAACCATAGTAACGCGAATGGCGTCGTGTCCGCGCGGACGCGCACAGTCTACGCTAAAGCTTAGCTGCGCCTAGTCGTAGTTTTAGATGGTGCAACAGGTGTAAATATTCATCGGAAAGCTGGACGTAACTAAGTCCAACGTAGAGTTTACACCCAACCTTTTTACGTCCAGCTGGTGCAACCGGCCCCGTGGTCTAGAACTACAGTAAGATCATGTTCACACACAACGCTCTGCACTTACTCCTGATTTCTCTCAACATGGCAACACCAGAGCTGTCAGTCAATACATGGAAACAAAGTAACCAGAGTTACTTATTTGAAAAAGTAACTCAGATATTTCCTTCTAAATGAAAAAGTAATGCGTTACTTTACTAGTTACTTAAAAAAGTAATCTGATTACGTAACTCGCGTTACTTGTAATGCATTACCCCCAACACTGGTAACAAGTGTGTGGTTTTGGAATCCCAGTGTCTGTGTTTTCAGTCTTTCAAAAGTATGCATTTTTTTCTCACAATTGTGCAGGGCGGTAAATGAAAACCCCCTAAGTGAAATTAAAGGGGAGAGATTACAGAACATTTTGCGCGAAGAAGAGGAATCTCTTGCTCCGCTCCACTTAGGCTGCATACACGACTCCAGACCGGTTTTCAGTCGTCGCGTTGGACTTTGGTAACGCGCAAAGTTTGGTATCCCTTGGGGGGTTAACAAGTTTACGAATTAATGGGCCGTTTTATCTGACGGTAAGTTACATGATATTATTTAATAAATGTTTACAGAACTGTTACCAATTAAGAGTGCTATGTGAAATAGTAGACAGTCCTGCTAATAATATTCATTACAACAGATTAGAATGTTGCTTATCCATTTTATTGTTTTTTTGTAAGATCATCTCTTTAATTGTCTCTTAAATCAAGAATGGGAAAGGTATGTCTATGGTAAAAAATTATATATTGTAAATATTATTAATCTGTGTGATTGTTTATATATATATATGAAGATGCTCGCTAATGTTCACTGTTGATGCGTTTAATAAAAAAATATTCCGTATGCTCTCTCTTTCGAGCGCATCGACCATCTTTATTATAAGGGTTTGGCTCCGCCCTCCTACCTGTAAATCTCCCCAGCAATCTGTGGAGCAGATCGGACTCTGCCTGGATCAGCTGAGGAAAGTGAATGGGGACAGCGACATGTCATTGAGAGCGGCATAATCGCCGAAACGCCGATATTTGAACGGGTTCTTCCACCGAGCCTCGCAAGACTACAAAGAGCGGCTTGGTTCCCAACTGAATAGCTTTGGAGACATTGATTAAGTTGGCGTTTATGAAAGAAATATCGATTAGACACCGCTGAGGCGACTCTGTCACTGGATGGACGACAGAGAGCTTGGTCGTACACAAGCCGCCTGAAGAGACATCCGTTTCTCCACGTTTCTCTCACGAATCCCCCTGCGTTCTGACTGATAACAACATAGACCACACGAATATTGGTTTTAGACTCCATTTTATTTTGAAGATATGGAAAAAGACGAGGAAAACCCTTCAAAATGAAAACATGAAGTCGTCATTAATGCGGATTTAAATGAGGGTAACGGACGCGCGGTTTCTCCTCACGCTCTCCAAGCTGCTGCATTTCTCGCTCAAAAATATTATTCATACTGAGCAGACGTGGATAGAAAAATAGATAAGAAAGGAGAGGGATATTTGAAGCAATATGGCTGATGGCTGGGGTTGGGGGCGCAGGCAGGAGCTCTCCAAAGCTTCATCTCAATGCTAGCTGTGGCAGATGGCAACGGATCCCATGGCAGCAGCTGTAGAATGAGTAATAATATCAATTTTAATAAAAACCCGGACTCTTCTGTCTCTATATCGAAGATGGACCTGATCATCCCGTTCTCACCAGACGTACCCTGTGACAACAATGGTCAGCGCATGTGGTGGGCTTTCCTCGCCTCATCCATGGTGACGTTCTTCGGGGGTCTCTTCATCATCCTCCTGTGGAGGACCCTTAAGTACCTGTGGACAGTCTGCTGCCATTGCAAAATCAAAAACAAGGTAATGCAAGCCCGTCCCCCTCTCCACGAAAAGCCCCATTAGCTGGAATTAAATGGTCATGTTATCTTTGTGCATTGGTGGTATCTTAATAACTAAATGGCATTTGGATGGCAGTGAATTGGCATTGATAGAAGTGATTCATTGTGAGTAGTACACTGGATCTGCATGACAATATTGCAGCATGCACTCAGTCTGAATAAACCACTCACAATGACGCACACAGCCCAAAACATGTCAGTATTTGCACATTTAAAGAAAATGGAATTAAGAGATTCATGTGTGTCAACAAATGAAAGCCTTTCATATATGCCTCATATTTGAATGAACAAATAACAGTATTTAGATCTTTTATTTTGTTTGATCCTTTTTATTTTTTCCTTGTTAGTGGTTTGTTGATGGATGAAAATGGTTGATAAGTGCCAGTTGGAAAAAAAAAATGTAAAGAATACATTGCATTTAAATCAGGAATTAGAGATATATGTGTACGCAATCAGTAACCCCGTAATCCATTTAAACTGTTACTAGATTTCATATGTAACCTTGTAAACAAGGCATTGAGACACAAGGTGACTGCAAAATGAAGTTATGTTAGACGGATTTTATTCATACACTAACTTGTCTGGAAAGTCATATAGGAACTTGTATGCATTGAACATGATATTTGTTACTGTGGCTAGTGGTTTGTTGATGGGTTAAGTTGTTTATCTAAAGTCAGCCTTTTAAAAACATATAATATATGATTCATTAAGCGCAATAAAATTAAAAGCAAGCCAGCACATTAACATAGAGAACGGTCATGTAGAGATGCAGATTATCTTTAACTAACAACCATCATCAGCTACAGACACATTTTAGTGTGTGATTTTCACTAGGGTTGGGCCGATAGACGATGCCATCGTCCATCGCCGATGGCTGACAGACAGCACGATGTTAAGCTGACATTACCCGCCCCGCCCCCCGATGTCATCGTCCATCACGATGTTTCATTGTAGACATCGTCCGATGCCAATTTGGTAGACATCGCCCAACCCAAATTTTCATAGGAAACCAGTCCAGACCTGTTGCTTGCAAATGTATGAAATATAGGATTCTATTCTTCACATCCATTCAATTTGATATTAATGTGATGGCTTCCATTAGGCACTCAAAATGGACTCAGTGAGAGACGGTGTGCGAATGCACTAAAAGTGTGGCTTATCTTCTACGTATCCATCATCTTTGATGGATTGGCTGCAATCCAGTGTAAATGGAAAAGTGTTATTTACTTCTCTAGAGACTCAGTGCAGACATAAAAAAAGGACCGAAGCTTCATTTTGGCTGCTTCATGTGGGATTTGAGGAGACAATATCCAGTGAGTTATAATTAACCACATGAGGCCTAGATTTAAACAGCCAATACATTTTAATCCCTATTAGTATCTACTGACTAAGATATCTGTCTGGGAATGACTTAAAAGACAGATTAGATGGTTTGTCTTCGTGCTAGTTTGTCAACAACCTTGGCTGTGGGGTGTTTTCGCATTTAAATAGTTGATATGAATGAATTATGTGTTCCTTCTCGTTCGGATGAGAATGTGTTGAACTTGATATTTATTTAAATGAGAAGGGTTAATGACATCTGTGAAGTCACCAGTCTTCATTACCATTTAATTAAGTACATGTACAAGCATTCCAGCAAAGCAGAGTCTGTCTGAAACCGACACTGTAGTTCAGCCTCTTCGGATGGAAGTTGTTAAAACACAATCAGGCCTGTGTTTATATCACCTGCTGTTGGAAAGCCTTGATTAAGCCTTGTTGTCTTCTCTGGGATACGATGTATAAGTAAGACCCAACTATTTTGCATCGTCAGTGTTTCCCTACCAGTGGCTGTTGACAACCCATTGTTGGGCCAATGGGAATGAGACAATGAGTATATTGTGCCAAGTGATATCTCACCATATCCCGTTTCCAAGAAGAAATGAAAATGGCGCTGTGGATAATTGTGTGCTCTTGATGTGTTTCCTAGTGGAAGCAGACTCTGGAGGGGTGACTTTGTGGATGGGTATTGACACTCTGATGCAAGGGGAACATGCTTGTTAGGAGCATTAAGAGACTGAAACGTTATCCCCTGTGCAGCTGACTGTGGACGGCAGGTCTTCCAGGCATGGTGTCAGTAATGGGACACGCAGCAGAGGCCAGCCATGTTGAGCAAGTGGGTGAGACTGAGAGCGTGCCATTATATCAGTCATATAGATTGCACCGTACAGGTGTAATGCACCTGAAAAAAAAAACACCCCACATCATCTTAGAGTTGTTCATCTGCGCATCCTGATTCTGTATTAGACTTTGTGGATTGGTTATTTGATGAGTCTTTCCATTGTTCGCTAGGTGATAAGTGCCCCTTAGGTGCGGTTGCGACATCGAAGGAATAATGACTTAATGTGAACTCTCTCTCTCTGTCCTCTGTGGCACCTTGCCTAAGGCTCCAGCTAAAACACATGTGCTTTAGTGTACAACACCTGTTGACTCTTATAGGGAACCATTTCTGCCCTTTTTAAGGGGGCAAACAGAATAAAGAGTTTTAGAGTTTTTATTTTATTTTAACTGGTAGCAGTAGCAACACCACTGGCAGTAACAAACACTCTTGTCGTCTGTTTAGTTGAGTCAAGTAGGTTTGTTGGTGCTTTGAAGTCAAGTTGGAATGATCATATTCACAAGTGCATATGAACGCCACCATCACATTGTATTTATGAGTGGAAGAAGTGTGCTTTCTTTAAGCTGACACTCTGAAGGCTGGGACACACCAAGCTGACTTCAAAGAACTAGCGGTGACCAAAGCCGACGGTGTTGTCGCCTTGCGTCGGCAGCGTCTGGACCAAAAAGCTGCGCTTGAACACACCGCTCAGACTACAGCTGACCGCAAACTAACACATGCATTCTGCACCTGCATGAGAGGAATTAGCTGTCTATATCAGCAGCTATCAATAGTATATATTCATCATTCAAAAGAACAACAACAACAACTGAACAATATATTTTGAGCAACATACAGAATATTTGGAACAGTAGTATTTGTTTATTTTTTTCTTTAATTTGTTTCTGAAATGTGGGCTGTCCTGCGGCTTTTGATGTGGATGGTTGATTTGCTGCTAGAGCTACTGCTGCCCTAAAAAGAAGAAAAATAAAGACTGAAAGACTTTTTAAACAGTTATTTAATTGTAGTTATATAATTCATATACATATAATTTCATATCATTTATTTATATAATTTCATATACATAATTTGATTTATTAATCAAATTTGAAGCATAAACAGAATGTTCTTACTAGCTTTGTGAAATTATACTAGATGCCTGAATGAAACAAACAGCAGAAGCTCTGAATGGGACGCAGATTCACTCTCTGACAGCCGTGTTACTCTCTACACTGCACTCAACCTGAAGGGATTCCCACACTTTCAGTCTCTGAGGAGACATGAAAGATCATGTAACATTAGAACAGACTTCTGTCTGTGCCGCCTTCATTTACATGCTCCTTTTCCTCACTTTCGTTTTAATTCTCGGGCACTGACTTATACGCTAAACTGAACATCCAATCAGAGTTCTCACTCTCGCCGACGGCCCTGACACCGATTCAACATGTTGAATCGGGCAAACTGCCGCCAACATGAGCCCAACGAGAGCAGACGTGTGGAACACACCAAACAAACTAGCCCGACAGACGCTTAATTTTCCATTTATTCTCAAACTATTAGTTCGAAGCAGATCAAAGATTTAGTCTCTCTAAAACCCTCCTTTCCGTGAGCCTACTCTGCTCTGATTGGTCAGATGGCTCAGTCTGTTGTGATCGGTCTACCGCGTACAGCACGTGTCAGAAACAATACGCCCATTGTCATAGTTCTGTATTTTGAACGCTCGATAGAAAATATAAACCTAAATAAAAATCTGTTATTTATCATACTTACAGGTTGTGATTCAGTGGAGCCATCTTTCAAGAGTAAGTGTTTTGTGAATCCCGTGTTGAACTCCCCCTGATTAGAGAAGCAGTCGTCAGTAAAGTGACGTGTTTGAGGGTGGGTCAAGTTATTCAAGGCCGGCCAACATAGAACGTAGGTGGGCATTATGCAGATGTGTTACCCTGTGACGTGTAGCCGTCATGGAAGTGGGATTCAAATTATTGACAACTCATTTAGGCTGTTCAGAATCGATTGTTTCTTTTGGGAGACAATAACTTTATTTATGGTGCACTTTTGGCTTTACAACTTTGCAGATTGTTTGCATTCACATAAAGCTACATTACACACTGCATGAAAGGCAATATTCGAAATGGCATAATAGGGGCACTTTAATGTTTCCTTATATTAGTGTTGTGTGTTACCGTGATGGTGTTTTGAGGTTATGACAAATATATTAGTATTTACCTTGAGGAAAAACTGCTTCTGATGATCTTTTATTCGTCATGTGGCTTTTTATTATTTGTGTATTGATGGTGGTTTTCAGTAATATTATAGCTAAAGGTACAAAATATATTTTAGTACTTTGATATAAACATTGTATGAATGATTTTTTTTACTGTAAATTTAGGTTCAATCTAAAATGTTGCTACTGTATTTTTTATTGTAAAGTTCTCGCAACCACAGCTGCTGTTTTTTTCTTTTTGCAGTGTACAATTCAGTTAGTACAAATTTTTTTGTACGTTTGATGAATAAAGCCGAGCGGTTTCATGTTACCATCTTTGCCTAAGGGCACTCAGTTTGGTGCACCCTTTTTTTTTGAGCCAATCATTTGAGCTGTGAATAATCACTTTGGAGCCACGGGAAAAATTGTAAAACTGATTGGCTGATCACACGAACATGCACAGTCCCACAGCCTTTCACTGGCAACTGTCCTGCCAGTGCATGAGCTATGACTTCAAAGGGAGGAAGCAGGGAAATTTGAGGTTATAGGCCTATATGAGGTTTCCAGAACACATCAGAATATACAGCTATTTTACATTGAATTCTCTTTGTTCACATAATGCTGT